CTTCCGCCTCAGCCTTCCGAGTAGCCGGAACTACAGGCGTGCACTACCACGCCTGGCTAAGTTTTTGATTTATTATAGAGATGAGGTCTCACCAAGTTGCCCAGCCGGGTCTAGAACCCGTGGGCTCAGGCAATCCACTCACCTCAGCCTCCCAAAGGCGCGGGATTACAGGCTGAGCCACCGAGCCTGGCTAAAAAAAATTTTTTTAAGAGACAAGGTCTTGCTCTGTCTCCCAGGCTGGAATGCAGCAGCCTGGTCTGGTCATAACTCATTGCAGCCTCATCTCCTGGACTCAAGAGGTCTTCCCCCTCAGCCTCCTGAGTAGCTGGAACTACAGGTACAGGGGCACATTACTATACCTGGCTTTTTTTTTTTTTCTGTATAGATGGAATCTTGCTATGTTGCCCAGGCTGGTCTTAAACTCCTGGCCTCAAGTGATCCTCTTTCCTTATTCTCCTGAGTAGCTTCGGTTATGGGCTCTAGCCACCACACTCAGCAGCCTCTATAATCTTTCTTATGATTATTTCTAAGTTGCCTATCGCTGACAAATGTAACTGGTGAGAACAGTTACCTTGGCCCTGCCCCTAGCATTAACTATTAACCAATCAAAGGAGGCATTTGTGACTATCATATCAGTACTGGAAACTTCTGAGACATGAGATTTAATGTGGATTCAGTTATGAGGTTTGCTACAGACTGAATGCTTGTGTCCCCCCAAAATCCGTATGTTGAAATCCTAACCCACAATGTGATGATAGAAGGAGGTATAGCCTCTAACAGGTTAGCTCATGAGTGTGAAGTCCTCATGAATGGGATTAGTGACCTTATAAAAAAGACCCTGGAGATACCTCTTATTCCTTCTGTCATGTGAGGACACAGCAAGGCGGCACCATTTATCTATGAGGAATAAGACCTCACCAGACACTGAATCTGCTGGTGCTTTGATCCAGGACTTCACAGTCTCCAGAACTGTGAGAAATAAATTTCTTTTGTTTACAAGCCACTCCATCTATTGCATTGTTACAGCTGTCTGACTGGACTAAGACAAGGTTCCTGGAGCACTTTATCAAAACCCACCTTGGCTTCCTTCATTCCGTGGAGCACCGTATCTCCCCCACTAGTGAAAAACTATGGAAGGCAGGGATTAGGACTTACTCAAGGAGGCAGAGCTCAGTGCCTTGCCTGTGGCTGGTGCTGGTCCTCAATAAATGTTTACTGAGTGTATGGAAAACAAATACTGGATAGTGGCTCTTACTCAGATCACGACTATATATAGAATTTGAGAAGTACTATATGAGGGGAGACCCAAAAAACCAGAATTATCTTTTGGAGGATGGGTACCTGCTAGGTTAAGTGTTCTAGGAACTCACTGGCATCAGTGTATCAGCTAGCATTGTTGTGAGAGGCTGTGCTCAGCTTCAGTGAATTTTTTTCCCCCTTGAGTCAGAGTCTCACTCTGTTGCCCAGGTTGGAATACAGTGCACATTCCTGGCCACCTCAACCTGCTGGGTTCAGGTGATTCTTCCATTTTTGCCTCCCAAGTAGCTGGGATTACAGGTGCACACTACCATGCCTTGTTATTTTTAAAATTTATTTATCGTAGAGATGAGGTCTCATCAAGTTGCCCAGACTAGTCTCGAACCCCTGGGCTAAGGCAATCCTCTCATCTCTGCCTCCCAAAGTGCTGTGATTATAGGCATGAGCCACTATGCCCAGCTCCCAGTTTTTCTGAGATTCTTTCAACACATTTGTCCTTTTCACGATGAGTGATTTACAAGCACATCTGCCTACATCAAGCTGAGTGCTCAGCAGTTTTTGACGAGAAGCAGCATGACCCCTGTGCCCCACCCTTTCTATTCTCCTTATCTTGCTCTGAGCGACTTTTTTTTGTTTCCCCAGATTTAAAAAGTCCCCAAAAGGAAACACTTTGTCAATGTGGAAGAGGGGAAACAAAAAAACAGCAGAAGCACTAGAAGGCATCAGAACTGACAAGTTCAAAAGCTGTTTTGAGCAGAGGATAAGGCGTCCCAATAGGTGTATTGCATCAAACAGAGAGTACTTTTAAGGTGACTGAAGTTTAAACATGCAAGAATACAATTTTTTATAAATAAATTCAATTTTGGGGGTCCTCCCTCATATTCAGAGTTTCATGGTTTTCTTGGGGACAGTTCAGCCACTGATTACTTCATTATTTGTTACAGGACAGTGCTAAGAGAGCCCCCGGTGGATCGCTGGTGAAGTCTTTCGATAATGCCACAGCTCCACTGGCAATTTGGAAGTGATCAGCTCCTGTCTCTGGGTCTCTTGGGGACCCGTGAAGACACACTGCTGCACTATAAGCAGAAAACATGGAAAGCCTGGAGCTGCCTCATTATTCATCTGAATTAGCGGGCAGATGTTAGTGGCAGTTTTGTCCTGCCAACCTGCCACATATCATCAGGTGGCAACCACTAGGTCAATACAAATCCCTTTTTCCCAGACCTCCACTTCCAGTTTGTTCCCAGGGCAGAAATGAAAAGCAGGAGGAAAAATGCCATTACACTGTAGCAGCAATGCCAGAGCACAGGCAAGGCGGTGAGAGAGAGCGAGCAATTGGCTGATATACCTGATAGAAAGTGAATGAATTAAATGAATTTAATTAAACATGCATGCTTCAAATGTCATAAATCCTGACAGGTAAGAATTAACTACTACTCTATTCCTCCTTTTTTTATTTTTCATTTTTAAAGATTGTATTACTATTATTATTATTATTATTATTATTATTTTGAGTTGGAGTCTCACTCTGTTGCCCAGTCTGGAGTGCAGTGGCATACTCACGGCCACCCCAGCGTCGACCTGCTGGGCTCAGGTGATCCTTCCGCCTCAGCCTTCCAAGTAGCTGGAACTACAGGCTGCATACTACCATGCCCGGATAATTTTTTTGATTTATTGTAGAGATGAGGTCTTGCCAAGTTGCCCAGGCTGTTCTTGACCTTGTGGGCTCAGGCAATCCCCTCACCTCAGCCTACCAAAGTGCTGGGATTATAGACTTGAGCCACTGCGTCTGGCCAGTTGTATTATTTTTAAATAGAGACAGGGTCTCACTATGTTGCCCAGGTTGGTCTTGAACTCCTGACCTCAAGTGATCCTCCTGCCTTGACCACTCAAAGTGTGGGATTACAGGTGTGAGGCACCACACTCGGCCTCCATGTCTTCTTAAACCAATGGTTCCCAAACCTGCAAAAACTTAATGCCTGGTCCTCAGCCCCAGACACTCTGATTCATTGGTATGAGGAAAACTTGGGACATCAGGTGAGTCTAACAATCAGCAAAATACAGAAGCCACACTCTTTTTTTTTTTTTTTTTTTGAGTCAGGGTCTCACCCTGTTGCTCAGGCTGGAATGCAGTAATATGATCATGGCTCACCACGTCAACCTCCTGGGCTCAGGTGATCCTTCTACCTCAGCCTTCCGAGTAGCTGGGAGTATAAGTGTGCATCACCATGCCCGGCTCATTTCTAAAAAATTGTTTTGTAGAGACAAAGTCTCACACTATGTCGTCTAGGCTAGTAGGAACCACACTCTTTTTTTTTTTGAGTTGGAGTCTCACTTTGTTGCCCAGACTAGAGTGCAGTGGTTGCTCCCGGCTAATTTTTTGATTTATTGTAGAGATGAGGTCTCACCAAGTTGCCCAGGCGGG